CTCATGACCTTGGATTTGGCAACAGTTTCTTAGATGTGTGTGGGGTTTGTTTCTTTGTTGTTGTTTTTTTTTTAGTGGAGTCTCGCTCTGTCTGCCTCCCAGGTTCACACCATTCTCCTGCCTCAGCCTCCCGAGTAGCTGGGACTACACAGGCGCCTGCCACCACGCCTGGCTAATTTTTTGTATTTTTTAGTAGAGATGGGGTTTCACCGTGTTAGCCAGGATGGTCTCGATCTCCTGACCTCATGATCCGTCTGCCTCGGCCTCCCAAAGTGCTGGGATTACAGGTGTGAGCCACCGTGCCTAGCCCCTCTTTGTTTTTTAAGAGATAGGGTCTTTCTCTGTGCCCAGGTTGGGGTGCATTGGTATGATCATAGCTCATTGCAGCCTCGAATTCCTGGGCCCAAGTGATCCTTCCACTTCAGCCTCCTGAGTAACTGGGAGTACAGGTATGCAGCACAACACCCGGCTTATTTTATTTTATTTTATTTTTTGAGACAGGGTTTTATTCCTGTCACCGAGGCTGGAGTGCAATGGTTCAATCTCAGCTCAATGCAAGCTCCACCTTTCGGGCTCAAGCAATTCTCCTGCCTCAGCCTCCTAAGTAGCTGGGACTACAGGCATACCTTGCCTGGATAATTATTATTATTATTATTATTATTATATTTTTTGGTAGAGACAGGTTTTTGCCATGTTGCCCAGACTGGTCTTAAACTCCCGGCCCAAGTTGTCCTCTTGCCTCCCAGAATGCTGGGATTATAGGTGTGAGCCACCACATCCAGCCTCATTTTATCATTTTTTAATGTTTTTTTTTTTTTTTTTTTTTTTTTTTTTTTTTTTTTTTTTACCAGCGGATGGAGACTCATAATCCGCCCATTTGCTATTAAATGTTTTTTTGTTTTAAGAGTTGGAACCTTGCCTATGTTGCTCCATGCTGGTTCAGGAACTCCCGGTCTTTAAGTTCAAGATGAACCTCATCCCACCTTGGGCCTCCCCTCCAAAGTGCTGGGATTACAGGCATGAGCCACTACACCTGGCTCCCACTTAGGTATGTTACCAGAAGCATAAGCAACCAAACAAAAAATAGATAAATTGGACTTCATCAAAATAAGTGTCTTTCCATACCAAAAGACAATATCAAAAAAGTAAAAAGACAATACAGAATGGGAGAATCAAATCATGTATCTTATAAAGGACTTCTGTCTAGAATATATGAAGAAATCTCACAACTCAAAAAGACTTCAGATCTCTGGCTCTTCAATAAAAAAAGACAAACAATCCCATTTAAAAATGGGCAAAGATCTGAGTAGACATTTCTCAAAGAACTATACATACAGTCAATAAGGACATGGAAAGATGCTCAGCATCATTAGTCACCAGGGACATGCAAATCAAAACCACAGTGAGACACCACTTTACACTCACTAGAAAGGCGATAATGAAACCCAAACCAGCCAACCAAACCAAAACAAAACAAAACAAAAAAACAGAAAAGAGGCTGGGCATGGTGGCTCATGCCTGTAATCCCAGCACTCTGGGAGGCCAAGGACGACGGATCATCTAAGTTTAGGAGTTGGAGACCAGCCTGGCCAACATGGCGAAATCCCGTCTCCATAAAAAATACAAAAATTAGCCGGGTGTGGTGGTGGGCGCCTGTAATCCCAGCTACTTGGGAGGCTGAGGCAGGAGAATAGCTTGAACCCGGGAGCAGAGGCTGCAGTGAGCAGAGATTGTGCCACTGCACTCCAGCCTGGCGACAAAGCAAGACTTCATCTGAAAAAACAAAAAACAAGAATTAGCCGGGTGTAGTGGCGCATGCCTGTAATCCCAGCTACTTGGGAGACTAAGGTGGGAGAATCACTTGAACTCGGGAGACTGAGGTTGCAGTGAGCCAAGATAACACCACTGCACTCCAGCCTGGGCAACAGAGCAGACTGTCTCAAAAAGAAAAAAAAAAAAAAAGGGCAGGGGAATCGCTTGAACCGGTGAGGCGGAGGCTGCAGTGGAAAAAAAATGGAAAAGAGCAAGTATTGGTGGGGACATGGATAAATTAGAGTCCTCCTACACTGCCAGTGGAATGTAAAATTGCAGCCACTTTGGGAAACAGTAGGGTAGTTCCTCAAAGGATCAAACAAAATTACCACCGACCCAGCAATTCCACTCCTTGATATTATCCGAGAGAAATGGAAAACATGTGTCCACACAAAAACTTTATACGAACATTTATAGCAGCATGATTCATAGTAAGTCAAAAAATTGAAACCCAGATATCCATCAACTAACAAATGGATAAATAAAACATTGTGGCTGGGTGTGGTGGCTCATGAATAATAATCCCAGCTCTTTGGGAGGCTGAGGCAGGTGGATTGCTTGAGGCCAGTAGTTCCAGTCCAGCCTCAGCAACATAGCAAGACCTCGTCTCTACAGAAAACATTTAAAAATTAGCCAGGCAGGGCCGGGCGCAGTGGCTCACACTTGTAATCCTGGCACTTTGGGAGGTCAAGGTGGGTGGATCACTTGAGCTCTGGAGTACAAGACCAGCCTGGACAACATGGTGAAACCCCATCTCTACCAAAAATATAAAAATTAGCCAGGTATGGTGGTGCGTGCCTGCAGTCTTAGAGACTCAGGAGACTGAGGCAGGAGGATCCCTTGAGCCCAGGAGGTTGAGGCTGCAGTGAGCCATGATCGTGCCACTGTACTCCAGCCTGGGTGACAGAGCAAGGCTCTTGGTCTCCAAGAAAACAAAAACAAAAACAAGGCCTCCAGTGCACACTAAGGCTTGAGAAACATGGGTATAATGCAATGCAAAGGTGAGAGGCAGGAGTCATATCATAGCATGATGAGAGCTGATGTTTATTGGGTGTTGACGTGATCTCATGTAGTTTCCAAAAGCACCTTATGAAGTGCTGGTGCTATTATTATCCCATTGGAGAGATCAGGAAACTGAGGTGCAGCGAGGTGAAGTGACTTGCCCAAGGTCATACAGCTAGTGAATGGCAGGGTTGGCACCTGAAAGTCAGTTCCTTCTGCCCTCCAAGCCCATGCTATTAACCAGTGGGTCAGCATTTCCTAGATCTGGGTCCACAAACATCACTGGTCGTGATGGAGTAGCCTCAGGGGGAACTTGTATGTTCATTTTAAACTCCAATAGTTACATAACTATTTAAAGTATAGTAGAAAATACATATATATCACCTCAAACTCATGATTTTAATAATGATGCTTCCCTTTAAAATAACTGAATTTATATTAAAGGTTAGTTGCTTTAATGAAAACTATTAAGTAAATAAAAGTACTGTTAGGTTCAAATATGGTAAATATATTAGAAAGGGTAACAATGAAGTATGAGAAACACTAAGCCAGACTCAGTTGTTTTTCTTTTTGAGACAGAGTCTTGCTCTGTCACTCAGGCTGGAGTGCGGTGGCGCAATTTCAGCTCACCACAACCTCTGCCTCCTAGGATCAAGCAATTCTCGTGCCTCAGCCTTCCAAGTAGCTGGGACTACAGGTGCATGCCACCACACCTGGATCATTTTTTATATTTTTAGTGGAGACAGGGTTTTGTCACATTGTCCAGGCTGGTCTCAAACTCCTGACCTCAGGTGATCCGCCCGTGCCTGCCTTGGCCTCCCAAAGTGCTGGGATTATAGGCGTGAGCCATGGTGCCTGGCCCAGACTCTGTTTACTGTAAAAATATGTAACAATTTATACTTTTTTTTTTTTTTTTTTGAGAACGAGTCTCGCTCTGTTGCCCAGGCTAGAGTGCAGTGCACATTCGCTCACTGCAGCTCCGCTCCGGTTTATCCATTTCTGCTCAGCTCCGAGTGGGACTACGCGCCCTATGCCGCTAATTTTTTTTTTTTTAAGACGGTTCACGTGTAGCAGATGTTTGATTCCTACCTGTGATCCCCTTCGCTCCAAAGTGCTGGGATTACAGGCGTGAGCCACCGCGCCCGGCTAACAATTATACTTTTACTGTGTATATAAACTGTACCTAATAACAGGACTATAGGCCAGGAGCAGTGGCTCATGCTTGTAATCTCAGTACTTTCGGAGGCCGAGGCAGAATTGCTTGAGCTCAGGAGTTCAAGATCAGCCTGAGTAACATAGGAAGATCGCATCTCTACAAAAAAAAAAATTACCCGGGTTTGGTGTCGTGCACTTGTAGTCCCAGCTACTTGGGAGGCCAAGGTGTGAGGATTGTTTGAGTCTAGGAGGTCCAGGCCACAGTGAGCCATGACTGTGCCACTGCACTTCAGCCTGGGTGACAGAGTGCAACCCTGTCTCTAAAAATAAAAAAAATTATAAAAAATAAAATGCCTCAGCAGGGTGTGATGGAACAGTGAGCGGATAGATTTGATGGGGGCTGGACTACATGATAAAGCAACTGTAACAAAATGTTAACATAGAACCTGGTAGTGCACACTCAGGGTGATTCACTGCACAATTCTTTCCACTTCTCTGGAAACTTTCATGCTGGAAAGAATGTCCAACATGATTGTTTATAGATTGTACCATACAATGAATGCATGAATGAATGAATACATAAGGCCTAAAAATGGCAGAGGCCAGGCACAGTGGCTCACAACTGTAATCCCAGCTCTTTGGGAGGCCAAGGCGGATGGATCACCTGAGGTCATGAGTTTGAGACCAGCCTGGCCAACATGGCAAAACGCCATCTGTACTAAAAATATAAAAACTGGCTGGACGTGGTGGTGCACAGCTGTAGTCCCAGCTACTCGGGAGGCTGAGGCAGAAGAATTGCTTGAACCGGGAAGTGGAGGCTGCAGTGAGCCAAGATCGCGCCATTGCACTCCAGCCTGGGCGACAGAGCGAGACTCTTGTCAAACAAAACAAAAAAAAAACAAAACAAACAAACAAAAAGAGAGGAATCTGCTGACATACCTTCTTGATGCTGTCTATATATAGGAAAGTGGTCATGTATTACTTTCATAATAAAAGTATTTTCTTTTTAGAGACAAAATCAGCACAAGAAGTCCATGGATAAAATCGGCATTTATTCAGAGGGCATGATGCCAGGAAGAAGCTCCCTGAGCGGGAGACAATGGCTAGGCCCCCTGCAAGGGGAACAAGGTCTCAGCCCTTCCCTACTCCCAGCCCTGCTGGAAAGGCCAGGAGCACAGTTCGTGGAGGGGCTCTAGGGTGGGCCTGGGTATGTGACCTGCCCCTCTGCCCACGGGTGAGTGTGACCTGCGTCCCAAGGATCCTGAGTATCAGGAGAGCTGGCAGAGGAAGTCGTGCAGAGGCAAAGCCAGGAGCCCCGACAGGGAGATCCCCAGCGTGTCAGAGATGCAGGTGGTCGCCATTGCAAACTCCCGGTGCTCATCACTGGTCTGGGAGGGCAGAGAGCAGGGGTGAGGCTTCAGTCCCAGACATCCCTGCCCTGGGTGTCCCTGGACAGGCCACCCACAGCCCTTGCCCGGCCGGTGCTGACCTCCAGGGCGATGTTGTGGAAGGTGTTCACATAGGCTGCGCCTCCCAGGAGCCCCTCATACAGAATGATCAGGAAGACGAAGTAGATGCTTGGCAGAAAGCCGAACCACACGTCCGCGAGCAGGAATGCCAGGTTGAGGGACTGTGAGCAGAGGGAGAGGCTGAGCCTGGGCCCAGGGTGGGGCAGGGAGGGAGAGGGGACCTCTCCTCCAGGGGCCCTTGGTTCTAGGAGATACTGGTGAAGGAGAGGGCTGCCAGGCCTAGATAAAATCTCAACACCAGCCCAGGGTGGTGGCTCACACCTGTAATCCCCAGCACTTTGGAAGGCTGAGGCAGGCAGATTACCTGAGGTCAGGATTTCGAGACCAGCCTGGCCTGGTCTCTGCTAAACATGGTAAAACCTCATCTCAACTAAAAATACAAAAATTAGCTGGGTGTAGTGGTCCTGTAGTCCCAGCTACTTGGGAGGCTGAGGCAGGAGAATCGCTTGAACCTGGGAGGCAGAGGCTGCAGTGAGTCAAGATTGCACCACTGCACTCCAGCCTGGGCAACAGAGAGAGACTCCATCTCAAAAAAAAAAAACCCAAAAATGCCAACCTCAGCCTGGTGCGGTGGCTCATGCAGGTAATACCAGCACATTGGGAGACCGAGGTGGGACGATCACTTGAGGCCAGGAGTTTGAGACCAGCCTGGGCAACATAACAAAACTCTGTCTCTATAAAAAATTTAAAAATTAGTTGAGCGTGGTGGCATGCACCTGTAGTTCCAGCTACTCGGGAGTCTGAGCAGAATTGCTTGAACCCAGCAGGTGGAGGCTGCAGTAAGCTATGACTGTGTCACTGTACTCCAGCCTGGGTGACAGAGCAAGATCCTGTCTCAAAAAACAAACAAACAAACAAACAAACAAACCCGGAGGCTTCCTAAAGGAAGTGGGACCATTGAAACCAGGATTTCTCAATTGCAGCACTCTTGGCATTTGGTGCTGGTCGTTCTGTGTGGTGAGGGCTGTTCTGCGTACAGCAGTGCATTTAGCAGCATCCCTGGCCTCTGCCCGCTAGATGCCCATAGCATCCCTTAGTTGTAACAACCAAAGAGGCCGGGCGCGGTGGCTCAAGCCTGTAATCCCAGCACTTTGGGAGGCCGAGGCGGGTGGATCACGAGGTCAGGAGATCGAGACTATGCTGGCTAACATGGTGAAACCCCGTCTCTACTAAAAATACAAAAAACTAGCCGGGCGTGGTGGCGGGCGCCTGTAGTCTCAGCTACTTGGGAGGCTGAGGCGGGAGAATGGCGTGAACCCGGGAGGCGGAGCTTGCAGTGAGCCGAGATCACGCCACTGCACTCCAGCCTGGGAGACACAGCGAGACTCCGTCTCAAAAAAAAAAAAAAAAAAAGGCCGGGCGCGGTGCTCAAGCCTGTAATCCAGCACTTGGAGGCCGAGACGGGCGGATCACGAGTCAGGAGATCGAGACCATCCTGGCTACACGGTGAAACCCTGTCTCTACTAAAAATGCAAAAAATAGCCGGCGAGGGGCGGGCGCCTGTAGTCCAGCTACTCGGAGCTGAGCAGGAGAATGGCGTGAACCCGGGAGGCGGAGCTTGCAGTGAGCCGAGATCCGTCACTGCACTCCAGCCTGGGCCACAGCGCAGACTCCGTCTCAAAAAAAAAAAAAAAAAAAAAAAAAAAAAAAAACAACCAAAGAATGCCTGCAGACGTTGCCCAACATCCCCTGGGCAGCAAAACTGCCCCTGTTTGAAAAACCACTGGTTCACTATGGTAAAACAAAGTGGGAGTAGGCGGGCATCCTATTCAGCTGGGCTTGAACTCCTGGCCTCAAGCAGTTGCTGCCCCTCTGCCTCAGCCTCCCAAAGTGCTGGGATTATAGGCAGGAGCCACCGCACTTGGCCAGGAAGCCTCCTTGATCCCCACCCCAGGGTGTAGGTCCCACCTCTGTATCCCAGTCTCTCAGGGAGGTGCCATTCTCCTAGCCCTGACCATGCCACGTTGCCTCTTGTGCGGTGTGTAGGCCACCTCCTGGCGGTTCATACTTTTCGTACACGTAAACATCGCCTGGGGATCTAGGTACAAATGCCCCAAGCAGGGCTTACCCTAGAGGTCCTGATTCATTAAATCTGAGGTGGACTTAAAGCTGAGCATTAAAAAGGACACACCCCTAGCCAGGTGTGGTGGCTCACGCCTGTAATCCCAGCACTTTGGGAGGCCAAGGTGGGTGGATCACCTGAGGTCAGGAGTTCAAGACCAGCCTAGCCAACATGGCGAAATCCCATCTCTACTAAAAAATACAAAAATTAGCCAGGTGTGGTGGCACGTGCCTGTAATCCCAGCTACTCAGGAGGCTGAGGCAGGAGAATCGCTTGAATCCCAGAGGCGGAGGTTGCAGTGAGCTGAGATCACGCCATTGCACTCCAGCCTGAGCAACAAGAGCGAAACTCTGTCTCTAAAAAACAAAACAAAACAAAACAAAAAATTATCCGGGCATGGTGGCGTGCACCTGTAATCCCAGCTACTCGCAAGGCTGAGGCTTGAGAATTGCTTGAATGTGGGAGGCAGAGGTTGCAGTGAGCCAAGATTGCACCACTGCATTCTAGCCTGGGCAATGGAGCGAGACTTTATCTCAAAAAAAAAAAAAAATTATAGCTAAAAACATGTAGCTTAAAACCATAAGCTACATATTTCAGTGGTATCTAGAAGCACCCCAAGTTATAAATCTGGGGTTTTGTGGGTACAAACCCTGGGCTTGCAGCACTGCTCAGATAAATAAGGCAGAAGGTTGGAGAATATTTACATGCTTTTGCCATAATATTAAAGTGTAATTTTTTTTTTCTTTTTTTTCTTTTTTTTTTGAGATAGGGTCTCACCCAGGCTGGGATACAGTAGCATGATTATGGCTCACTGCAGCCTGGAACTCCTGGGCTGAAGCGATCCTCCGGCCTCAGCCTCCCAAGTAACTGGGATTACAGGTGAATGTCACCACACCCTGTTTTTTGTAGAGATGGGGTCTCATGACGTTACCCAGGCTGCTCTCTCAAACTCCTGGGCTCAAGCAATTCTCCCGCCTGTTTTTTTTTTTTTTTTTTTTTTTTTTTAGAGATGGGGGTCTCATTATGTTGCCCAGTCTGGTCTCAAGCTCCTGGCTTCAAGTCCGCCCCCCACCCTAGCCTCCAAAAGCATTGGGATTATAGGTGTGAGTCACAACACCTGGCCTAAAGTATAATCTCTATTTCTGTATTTTGCTATCACAGAATTGAATTCCTAAGGTTTTTTTTTTTTTTTTGGATATGGAGTCTTGCTCTGTGTGGCCCAGGCTGGAGTGCAGTGGTGCGATCTCAGCTCACTGCAACCTGCATCTCCCAGATTCAAGCAATTCTCCTGCCTCAGCCTAGTGAGTAGCTGGGATGACAGACAGATGCCACCATGCCCGACTAATTTTTGTATTTTTAGTAGAGACGGGGTTTCACTGTGTTGGCCAGACTGGTCTCGAACTCCTGACCTCAGGTGATTCGCCTACCTCCGGCTCCCAAAGTGCTGGGATTACAGGTGTGAACCACCACTGGCGGAGTTCCTAAATTTCAAGGGCAGAGGACTTTCCTGTCACAGTTGACAGTTTATTGTAACAGTGACCTCCAGGGACTGTGGATTTGTAACCTTGAAACAATGAATACTGGTTATATGAAACTCCTTTTATTAGACTGTTGTAAGGAAGGGTGTTTGTGCCCTTAAAGCTGTAAGCTACTGTTTACCAAGGGCAGTGGAATTTGCTCACCACCCTTAAGATAAATAACCCATTGACTACAAAGTCACCAATTCTATTATAATTAACTATCTAGAATAAAGGAACTGCGCATTTTCTTATAGTTAGAAACATCATTTGAAAGCCTGTCTCTTTGCATGAGGTAAGTGACCTATGATCATGCCACTGTACTCCAGCCTGGGTGACAGAGGAAGGTCCTGACTTTTTCTTTCTTTCTTTTTTCGTTTTTCGGGAGACAGGGTCTCGTTCTGTTGCCTAGGCTGGAGTGCAGAGGCATGACCTTGGTTCACCGCAGCCTTGACCTCATAGGCTCAAGTGATCCTCCCACCTCAGCTTCCTAGACTACAGGTGTGCACCACCACACCTGGCTAACTTTTGTAGAGATGTGATTTTGCCATGTTGCCCAGGCTGGACTTGAACTACCAGGCTCAAATGATCCACCTGCCTCAGCCTCCCAAAGTGCTGGGATTACAGGTATGAGCCACCTGGCCCGTCCCAATCACCACACGGCTTCACACACACACACACACACACACACACACACACACACACATACACAATACAAAACCTTGTTCTTCCATTCTTTCTTTCATCTCTATTTCTTACAACTACTCTGAAAAATAGGTATTGGCCACATCCAATTTATACATGAGGAAATTGCGGCTCAGAGTGGTTCTGAGACCTGCCCTAAGTCACTCAGTGGCTGAGTAATGAAGCTCGGTTTTGCTTGGCTCCTGAGGCTATACATTTTACATGGAGCCCTGCTGGACTTCGGTTCCCTGTGCTAAGAAATGATAGTGTACAATTTCCACTTCCCTGTAATCCCAGCACTTTGGGAGGCTGAGGCCAGCACATCACCTGAGGTCAGGAGTTCAAGACCAGCAAATATGGCAAAACCCCACCTCTACTAAAAATACAAAAATTAGCCAGGTATGGAGGTAGGCGCCTGTAATCCCAGCTACTCGGGAGACTGAGGCGGGAGAATCACTTGAATCCAGGAGGCAGAGGTTGCAGTGAGCCAAGATTGCACCACTGCACTCCAGCCTGGACGACAGAGTGACACTCTGTCTCAAAAAACAAACAAACAAACAAAAAAAAACTACACTTCCTACTGATAGTGGGAAGCAGGGGAGTTTGGGGAAGCTGGGAGCCAAGGTGGAAATGGAGTGAGGGGCAGGGGTTTGGTACCTGCAGCAGGGCCAGGGCCCAGGTGAAACGGATGTGACAGCAGCGGAGAGAAGAGCGGGAGGCAAAGACGCCTGCCTGGTACAACATCTGGTACCTGAGGTTAGGGTAGGAAGTAGGAGAGGAGGCTCCTCCAGGGACCATCCCACTCCCCGGAGTCCCTACTGAGCAGGGCAGCCCCATCACCACGGCGCCCTCCCAGCCCACCGCCCTCGCTCCTCTTACCAGCGGTATTGCTGAGCGTGACTCAGGGAAGTGTTCCGGAAAAAGAGGAGTTCAAACTGCAGCAAAGACCAGACAGGGGAGATGGACGGGGCTGTGTGGGTCCCAGCCCCAGTCACCACCTCCACACCCCTCCCAGCACCCCTCACTCACAAGTCCCTGGTTGATGAAATATTCGGCAAAGTAAACCACGACCAAGGGGACGATGTACCACAGCAGACCCTGGAAAAGGCAGAAGATGTAAGTGGGGGGCCCGGAGGTGAGCAACCCCCATGGGGACACACCCCAGCCATCATCCGAACCTTGAACACTGTCCACCTTTCCCGAAGGGAGAGGCTGGAGCTGGAGCCTGCAGGGGAACAGAAAGAGAAGAGCAGATGAAGTTTTCACACTGAAGACTCGGCAAAGAGGCGCCGGGTGTGACAGAATTAACCAGACCACGCAACAGTGGGAAGTGACTTACATGCCACTGGATTGGATGTAACAAATTTTAAGAATTGTTAAAATGTTAAAATTTGTTAAAATGGCTGGGCGCAGTGGCTCACGCTTGTAATCCCAGCAATTTGGGAGGCTGAGGTGGGCGGATCACCTGAGGTCAGGAGTTCAAGATCACCCTGGCCAACATGGAGAAACCCCATCTCTACTAAAAATACAAAAATTAGCCGTGTGTGGTGGCGGGTGCCTGTAATCCCAGCTACTCAGGTGGCTGAGGCGGGAGAATCACTTGAACCCGGGAGGCAGAGGTTGCAGTGAGCTGAGATTGCGCCATCGCACTCCAGCCTGGGCAACAAGAGTGAAACTCTGCCTGTAATCCCAGCACTTTGGGAGGCCGAGGCGGGTGGATCACAAGGTCAGGAGATCAAGACCACGGTGAAACCTCACCTCTACTAAAAATACAAAAAATTAGCCGGGCGCGGTGGCGGGCGTCTGTAGTCCCAGCTACTCTGGAGGCTGAGGCAGGAGAATGGCGTGAACCCGGGAGGCGGAGCTTGCAGTGAGCCGAGATCACGCCACCGCACTCCAGCCTAGGCGACAGAGCGAGACTCCGTCTCAAAAAAAAAAAAAAAAGAGTGAAACTCCGTCTCAAAAAAATAAAATAAGATAAAAAAATAATAAAATGGTAAACTTCGAGTAATATACATACTTTTTACCATGATGGAAAAAAAAAAAAGCTAACCAGGTGAGACCTCTTCATATCTCTTTTTAAATTGTTTTTATTTTTTGAGACAGAGTCTCACTCAGTTGCCCAGGCAGGAGTGCAGTGGTGCAATCTCGACTCACTGCAACCTCCGCCTCCTGGTTCAAGCTTATCCCTTTGAACACTTCCAAAGGATCACTTGAGCTAGAACATCCCAGCTTATCCCCACCGCAGGACCTCAGCACTTGTGATTGGAATGCCTGGCACATGGTAAGTACTCACTTAATACCTCTCCATCCCTCCCTTTCTTTTCTTTCTTTCTTTTCTTTTTTATGACAGGGTCTTGCTCTGTTGCCCAGGCTGGACTCAAACTCCTGAGGTCAAGAGATCCTCCTGCCTCAGCCTCCCAAAGTGCTGGGATATTATAGGCGTGAGCCTCTGTGCTGGGCCTCAACAAGTATTTCTCAAATAGACAAAGGCTTTTCCCATAACCAGTACACTCACTCTCTTTCCCCTCATAACTGTGTCCATTGCAGAGAGGAAAAGGCCAAACCCAGAGAGAAAGTGACCTCTCTAAGGGTGTCTCCTACCTGGCTTCGACTCCGGGGCCTCGGTTCTTATGAGGGGCTGCCGGGCTGAGCTCTCCGCCTCTTCTTCCCCTCCAGGGTCCTGGGCCTCAGGAGATGTGAGCAACAAGAAATAGCTAGGAGTAGGATGAAGGCAGGGTCAGAGAACCCTACTGGCTGGGAAGGTCCCCAGGGACTGTCTAGGCCACTCTTTTCCCAGGGAACACCTCTACCTTTGAACACTTCCAAAGATGGGTAGCTCACTGCCTCTAAGGTGCCTACAGTGTGGGGGAGAGCCCCAATTGTAGACAAAGGCTTCCTTCTTTGGAGCTGAATTTATCTCCTTGTTGTTCCTATTCATGGGCCTTTGTTTTGTTGTGATTTTTTTTTCAGAGACAGGGTCTTTCTCCATCACCCAGGCTGGAATGCAGTGGTGCAATCATAGCTCACTGCAGTCTCGACCTCCCAGGCTCAAGCAATCCTCCTGCCTCAGCCTCCCAAGTAGCTGGGACTACAGGCATTTGCCACTAAGCCCGCCTCATATTTTCCATTTTTTGTATAAATGGAATCTCGCTATGCTGCCCAGGCTGGTCTCAAATTTCTCACCTCTAGTGGTCCTCCAGGTTCAGTCTATTAAAGCACTGGGATTACAGCCATGAGCCACTATGCTCAGCAGGCCCTCATTTGGACTGCTGGCTCATATCAAGCGAGTCAGTTCTGTTTTCTGGCCATTATTATTCTAATGGTTGCTCTAGTTCCCATTAATTATACGTTCACTCTGTGCTAGGCCAGAACTTCCTCGATTTTAGTCACTTAGGTTCTGGCTTCATGTTATTTGCCATATCCACATTCCTCGTGTGTGTGTGTGTGTGTGTGTGTGTGTGTGTGTGTGTATATATATTTACTTAATATCTTCCTTTAAATGGACTCACTTTTTCTACCTGGACTTGTCCTAAGCACTAATCTTGTGAAGGGTCAGGTGTGATTGGCTAGTTCAAAGTGTTTCCTTTTTTTTTGTTTTTTTTTTGAGATGAGTCTTGCTCTGTTGACCAGCCTGGAGTGCAGTGGCATGATCTCGGCTCACTGCAACCTCTGCCTCCTGGCGATTCTTCTGCCTCAGTCTCCCGAGTAGCTGGGACTACAGGCAAGCGCCACTAAGCCTGGCTAATTTTTGTATTTTTAGTAGAGACGGGTTTCACCCCGCCACCATGCCTGGCCAAAGTGCTTCCTAATATGCATGAAAATACAAGAACTATATCAGGCCAGGCATGGCGGCTCACGCCTGTATTCCCAGCATTATGGGAGGCCAATGCAGGTGGATCACTTGAGGTCAGGAGTTCAAGACCAGCCTGGCCAACACAGTGAAACCCGTGTCTACTAAAAATATAAAAAATTAGCCAGGCATGGTGGCATGGGCCTGTGGTCCCAGCTACGTGGGAGGTTGAGGCAGGAGAATCACTAGAGCCCGGGAGACCGAAGTTGCAGTGAGCTGAGATCACACCAGCCACTACACTCCAGCCTGAGTGACAGAACGAGACTTTGTCTCAAAAAAAAAAGAACTAATCAAAGTCCACCCTCATCCTATTTCTAATCACCTTGGGAACCACACTGTGCTGAATGCATTACCCTCATCACCTCCCAGGAAAGCAAGAATGACTGCCATTTGAGATATGGGGAAACTGAGGGTTCAGAGGGGTGGAGTAACTTGTTCAACACCACACAGCTAAAAAGTAGCAGCTCCAGGACTCACACGTGGGGCTATCAGAGTCCAGATTCCACCTCCCTTCAGAGCAAGGTAGGGACTTGAAGGTTGCAATCATAATCAAGTTTTCTTTCTTTCTTTTTTTTTTTTTTTTCCTGAGACAGAGTCTTACTGTCGCCCGGGCTGGAGTGCAATGGTGAGATCTCAACTCACTGCCACCACTGCCTCCAGGGTTCAAGCCATCTTCCTGCCTCAGCCTCCTGAGTAGTTGGGACTACAGGCACCCGCCAACACACCTGGCTAATTTTTGTATTTTTAGTAGAGACGGGGTTTCACCATGTTGGCCAGGCTGGTTTCCTGACCTTAGGCGATCCGCCCTCCTTGGCCTCCCAAAGTGCTGGGATTACAGGCGTGAGCCACCACGCCTGGCCATGGCCAAGTTTTCTCTCCTTGGACCCCTCTCCCTCCCAGTTCAGGGCAGCTCACCTGGCCAGCAGCAGGGCAGGGATACCCAGCATGGAGAGCAGGGTCTGCTGGGGGGAGAGGCCAGCCTGGGTGAGGCCCAGGTAGGACAGGGCCCCCAGCAGCCCAGCTCCCCCAGTCCCTGAGGACCACCAGGAGATCACAGCCCTGGGAAGGAGAACACAGGAACATTCAGGAGGACCAAGGCCGACCATATGACAGCCTCTCCCCACATTCCCTGCTCCACCTGCTTACCTGGGGTAGAAGGCAGTGAGGGAGAGGAAGGTGACCTCCCCGAGGCCTGATGAGATGCTAGCCAAGACCACACCTGGGGGGAGGACAAGCAACGGGGTGGTAACACCTCGCCTTGCCACATCGCCCAGGCCCCTAAGGTGTCTGGCCATGGCCTCCTCCATATCACCTCATAGAGGCTCCAACAGATCTCGCGTACAGGCCAGGTTCCAGGTCTGAAGCAGAGTCCCCCTCCCCTGTGTGTCCCTTCATGAAGAGTGGCACCTCCATCCACCCAGTTATCAGACCAGGAGCAGACATGCACCCTTGATGGCTCTGCCCCTCCATCAGTCTTTTTCTTTTTATTTTCTTTTCCTTTCGGAGATGGAGTCTCGCCCTGTCACCCAGGCTGGAGTACAGTGGCGTGATCTCGGCTCACTGCAACCTCTGCCTCCCAGGTTCAAGAGATTCTCCTGCCTCAGCCTCCTGAGTAGCTGGGATTACAGGCTCGTGCCACCACACCCAGCTAATTTTTGTATTTTTGGTAGAGACACGGTTTCTCCATGTTGGCCAGGCTGGTTTCGAACTCCTGACCTCAGGTGATCCGCCCGCCTCGGCTTTCCAAAACGCTGGGATTATAGGCATGAGTCAACGTGCCTGACCCATCACAGAGTCTTGACTTTGTTCACCTCAATCTCCGTCTAATTCATCCATTTTCTCCCGTCTCCTCCACTGCCTACCCCTTCAAATTTTCCCAGTATCCCATCTCCTACTGCTGATAGCCCTAGCAGGCTTCTGACGGTGACAGAATGAATCTCTTTCCTCTGGGAGGCTGGGGAGACTCTTCCCACAAATGCTCTGATGCGGTTCCTCAGGGACCCCCATCTGACACAGAACCGCACACTCACCACACAGGCCGGTCCCCACAGAATGAGAAAAGGCAACCAGGACGAAGCTTCCAGCAGCACAAATCCCACTGACAAGAACCCGGGGGCTGAGGGGGCCAGAACGGAAGAGAGAGGGAAGGTCAGTCTCTACTCTCAGCATCTCAGCCCTCCCAGCCTCCCCATTCTCAGCTCCTGCCTGCCCTGCCTCCTGCTACTCCCACCCAGACCTGTAGGGCAGCAGGTGAAGGCCAAGAGGAGCCAACAATTTGATGACGAGCGTGGGGAGGATGTCTGCCAGGAGCACGGCCTGGGACAGGAGAAAGGAGTGAGACCCCAGAGGTTCCAGGGGACAACCCTCCCAACCACGTGGCCAAGGAGAGGTAGGAGCTGGCCTGCTACAAACACAGGCTCTGGGGTCAGGCACACCTGGGTTCAAGTCTCAGCTCTGCCACTCCTTAGCTGTGTGTCAAGAGTTTATATTCTATCAGCTTCAGTCTCCTCATCTGGAAAATGGGGATATCATAGCGCCTAGCTCACAGGACTGCTGTGTGGATTAAATGAGCTAATATATGCTACATACAGAAAGGGCTCAGAAACTTTATATATATGTATATATATCTCTTTTTTTTTTTTTTTTTTGAGACTGAGTCTCACTCTGCCACCCAGGCTGGAGTGTAGTGACTCGATCTTAGCTCACTACAACCTCCACCTCCTGGGTTCAAGTGACTCTCCTGCCTCAGCCTCCCAAGTAGCTGGGATTACAGGCATGCACCACCACACCTGGCTAATTTTTGTATTTTTAGTACAGATGGGGTTTCACCATGTTGGCCAGGCTGGTCTTGAACTCCTGGCCTCAAGTGATCTGCCCGCCTCAGCCTCAGAAATTATATTAAGGTCTCGATTATTACATATACCCTTTTTTTCCTCTTTTTCCTTAAGATGGGGTCTCACTATACTGCCCAGGCTGGTCTCAAACTCCTAGGCTCAAGTGATCCTCCCACCTTGGTCTCCCAAAGTGCCAGGATTACAGGTGTGAGCCAATGCGCCCAGCCCAGGTCTCAACGGTTTTAATCATGACAGTCCCAGTTGGGTAGTGAAGGGCTGGGAGTGGGGTCTATAGACCCGGGCCCTGGGTCAGGAGAGGACCAGGTGAGATTAGTACGCACAGCCGTAGAGACAGAGTTGCAGTCAAATCGTGATGAGCTGTTGTGGGGGATGGGCGCTGGGCCTGGGTCCACCTGATGGAAGAAAACGATGTCTTTCACCCTGGAAGCAGAGGGATAGACACCCAGAGCCAGCTCCCAGCCCAGCTCTGCCTTCAATTGAAGGATGGCTTTGGGTCGGCAGTGACTGACCTCTCAGGACCTCAGTGTCTCTGCATGCACAATGAAGAGGGGGTTTCCATATGAGTCTCACCCTACTAGACCACAGGCCACAGATGGCCCTGTAAATGGACTTTGTTTAGATAACACATTCAAGAGTTTTCTTTTTTTTTGAGACGGAGTCTCACTCTGTTGCCCAAGTTAGAGTGCAGTGGTATGATCTTGGCTCATTGCAACCTCTGCCTCCTGGCTTCAAGCAATTCTTCTGCCTCAGCCTCTTGAGTAGCTCAGACTACAGGTGTGTGCCACCACACCCAGCTAGTTTTTGTATTTTTAGTAGAGTTGGAGTTTCACCATGTTGGCCAGGTTGGTCTCGAACTCCTGACTTCAAGTGATCTGCCTGCCTCAGCCTCCCAAACTGCTGGGATTATGGGTGTGAGCCACTGTGCCCAGCCAGAGACTGGAAACTTTACCCCACCTTGTGCCATCCCTTGGCCACCCCATTCCATGAGTTTTTCAAGGGGGCCTCTGTCCCACGCCCTCATCTTCCCACAGGGACTAACCATGGTAGTGGTGGTAGAGAGTCACTTACATGGCTCTGGTTTCCTGATGTCCTCTCGTGGCTAAGGATGTCATGGGCAGCACTCAGCATCACCACATAAGAGAAGTTGTTGCAAAGGCCCAGCAGCCTGGAAGGAGCAGGACAGGTCTCAGCTCCCTCCTGATCCTGCAGCCATCTGTAGACTTTGTGCCAAACCTCCCCTTACCTGTGCCCTTCAATCAGCTCCCTCTTTTTTTTTCCCTCTATCACCAGATCCCATCTTCATTCAGTGTTGGGGTCAGAAATACAGGCTTTGGTGCTTGGGCAAGACAGTGAGACCCCCATCTCTACAAAAAATTAAAAAATTAGCCAGGTGTGGTGGCTCAAACTGTAGTCCCAGCTACTTGGGCAGCTGAGGTGGAGGATTGCTTGAGTCCAGGAGTTAGAGGCTGCAGTGAACTGTGATCATGCCACTGCACTCCAGCCTGGGTGACAGAGCAAGACCCTGTTACAAAAATAAAAAATAAAAAGGAAGAGGCCGGGTACGGTGGCTCACACCTGTAATCCCAGCACTTTGAGGGGCCAAGGTAGGCGGATCACCCGAGGTCGGGAGTTTGAGACCAGCCTGACCAACATGGAGAAAAAAAAAAAAAAAAAAAAAAAAAAAAAAAAAAAAAAAAAAAAAAAAAAAAAAAAAAAAAAAAAAAAAAAAAAAAAAAAAAAAAAAAAAAAAAAAAAAAGAACACACAAGCGGGATATGAGACAAAAAAAAAAAAAAAAAAAAAAAAAAAAGCCTGACCAACATGGAGAAACCCTCTGCTTTTTTGAGACTCTATCTCAAAAAAAAAAAAAAAAAAAAAAAAATCCTGGGGCTCGAAACCAAAAGGACTGTGTTCAAGCACCAAGTCTGCTGTTTAGTAGTCTCAGTCTACTCATGTGCAAAATAGGGATACAAATTTATCTCCTGACTATCCCCCCCACAGAATGCTATATGGATCAAAACAAGATAAGACCAAAGGCCTTTAGGATTCAGGAAAGGTTCTGTTTGTTTACTCTCATCTCCCAGAGTTGCACTCAGTGATGGGAGGGAATCTGGGTCCGGTGCCAGAGATTTCATTAGGGGCCTTTTCACAAGACTTCGAAGTAGAACTATAATACTACTCTTCCCATTTGACTGTAGAGGAACCAGGGTCAGAGAGGTTAAGTGACTCTTCCAAACAGTACATGGGAAGCCACTTCTAACCCAGTCCGGAAGTGGGTGGAGGATCCAAGTCCTCAATGTTTAGGTTAATGCTAGAAGTATTTCCGGAGACTTGGTATTTGTATGATTTTAGAAAGTATATGGATGACCTTTTTAAAAGTTTCAGGGCGGGGCACGGTGGCTCACACCTGTAATCCCAGCACTGTGGGAGGTGGAGGCAAGCGGATCACCTAAGGTCAGGAGTTCCAGACCAGCCTGGCCAGCATGGTGAAATCCCATCTCTACTAAAAATACAAAAAATTAGCTGTGTCTGGTGACGCGTGCCTGTAATCCCAGCTATTCAGGGGGCTGAGACAGGAGAATCGCTTGAACCTGGGAGGCGGAGGTTTTGGTGAGCCAAGATCGTGCCCCTGCTCTCTAGCCTGGGTGACAGAGTGAGACTCTGTCTCAAAAATAAAATTAAATGAAAAAAAGGTTCAGGCCCGGCATGGTGGCTCATGCTTGCAATCTCAGTACTTTGGAAGGTTGAGGTAGGAGGATCACTTGAGGCCACGAGTTTGAGACCAGCCCAGGTCCCATAGTGAGACCCCATCTCTATAAAAAAATTAAAAAATTAGCCAGGTGAGGTGGTGCACGCCTGTAGTCACAGCTACCTGGAGGCTGAGGTGGGAGGATCACTTGAGCCCAGGAGTTCTAGGCTGCAGTGAGCTGTGATTGCTTTACTGCATTCCAACCTGGGCAACAGAGCAAGACCCTGTCTCAGAAAGAAAAAGAATAAGATAAAATAAATTTAAAAAATAAAAGTTTTAGTAGTGATGCATTTATTTAAACGTTCATTAGGAAAATGCTGGTTTTCCATGTGGAGTCGTGATTTAAAGTTTTCTTTTAAAAAATATGTGCATTAAAAAACTTTAAGGCTGAATTGGTTGAAGGAAAAAAGTAAATAATCCTACAGATGGTATGAGGATCTGGCTAAATCCCGAAGGTGATAAGGAGTGAAGTTTGGAAATTTTACATGCTGCCCCCGGGCAAACCAGTGGATTCAGTAAATATTTGTGGGTTCAGCTCCTTTGCGCAGCTTAACTCCTTCTTCCCCCTTTCCTCCTGTCACTTCCTTCTTCCCACCCCATTGTCACTTGCTGAACTCTCAGGCCACTCACCAGAAGCCCACCGCGTTCTTCCAATGCGCGCCCTGATGGTCCAATAGAGGGAGCCGTGGCTCCGGGACGGTCTCCTCACCTGGGAGAGCGAGAAGAGGGCATGACCCCCACCCACTCTCTGGCGCACGACGGCCCCATGCGTGTCCTCCCGGGGCCGAGTCAGCTATCACTCCCCTCAGGTGGGCTGCGAGCCAGAGGTGGTCGCTCCAAGAGGGTGGGCCAGATTACTCACCCTCGGAATCCGAAAGGCGCCGCCGCGAGCCCGCACAGCCTCCCATCGCATCAAGTTCAGGTCCCCCAAGGGTCTAGGGTCATAGAGTGTCCAAAAGGGGCTCCCACGGGAGGGATGAGGGTCTGCGACAGGCGACAAGGATCAACGCCCGATTGCCGGTCCCAGCTCCGGCTTGTCTGGGGCACTCGCGCCCCGCGATCCATCAAGGAAGCTGGGGGCTCCATCTCGAGCGCCCTACGACCCACCACGCCCCACCCATCGCACTCTGCCCCCGCCCCGTCTACAGCAGGGACCCTGCGGCCTGTACCTTTAAGAGCAGCAGAACATTCTGCACTTTGCAGAGGCCGGCTGTCGGATCACGTGACAGAACCCGCGTGTTCCCCCATCACGTGCTCAGAGGTTTTCCCTACTTCCGGGTCCTCTCTATCTTCGCTTTGGGCCTTCTCGGCTTCGGAGCGTGAGAAAGGGAGGGGCCGGAGAACCTTGGAACCGCAGGTTTTAAACTGGAGCGGGTGGGAGCAGCAAGCAGAGCTATGACCTTAGATCAGTGGCGCTCAAGACCGAGACGGTATCCTGCCAGGACCAGTTATGGCTGTGGGAGGCTTCAGTTCCTTTCCTTCAGCACTCACTTGCCAGAAACAAATATGGACCTGCCTACTCCTCCCTTTTTGGTTTTTTTTTTGTTTTTTTTTTTGTTTTTTTTGAGGCAGGAGTGTTTCTGGTTTCGAACAAAGACGACTAGCTTCAGGTCATTCTTATCCCCATCTGTTGACTTTACAAATTGTTTTAGAGACCTAAATAAACATAATACCCATCTAAGGGGATTTCATGAATTATCTATTAGCAGTATCCAAGATGTTAAGAGATCCCTATTTCCAAATTATCCTAGAACCAAAAAATATCACAGCACTTCAACCCCTGGTGTTACAGATGAGAAAACCAAGGTACAAATATATATATAACTATATATATGTATAATATATATACATATAAAACAAAAATTAGCCAGGCGTGGTGGTGCATGCCTGTAGTCACAGGTACTTTGGAGGCTGAGGTGGGAGGATCACTTGTGCCTAGGAGGTGAAGCTACAGTGAGCTATGATCATGCCACTTGCACTCCAGCCTGGGCGACAGAGTGAGATCGTCTCTCAAAAAAAGATCCTCTCTCAAAAAAAGATCCTCTCTCAAAAAAAGAAAAAGTAAAAAAGAAAAGAAGAGACACATATATACGTGTGAAAAAAATTGGAAAATTGCTGACGATCATACAATGTTACACATAAAGGTGACTTTAGAGACCTGTATAGTGATAAGAAATAGAGCACCAGAGGGCCACTGGGTTGGCTCCAGGCTGCTGCAGGATTCCTGCCTCCATCAAAGGTGGTGCTTAGACCAGATTTTTTTTTTTTTTTTTGACAGGGTTTTGCTCTGTTGCCCAGGCTGGAGTGCAGCAGCAGGATCTTGGTTTGCTGCAACATTGACCTCCCAGGCTCAGGCGATCCTCCCACCTCAGCCTCCTGAGTAGCTGGGACAGCAGGTGCGCACCACCATGCCCAGCTGATTTTTGTATTTTTTGTAGAGACGGGATTTTGCCACGTTGCCCAGGCTGGCCTCAAACTCCTGAGCTCAAGCAATCCATCCGCCTTGGCTTCCCAAAGTGCTGCGACTACAGGCGTGAGCCACCGCACCTGGCCAGACTAAATGTTTTTAAGGCCTAAGATTCTGATGCTGTGATTTCATCCAATTGCCCTAATTGGAATAGGAAAATGGGGCTGGAGAGGGGAGAAGGAGGGTATGGGGAAGAGAAGTAGAGCAAGGTCACTTTATGTAGTTCCAAATAAGGAATCATATTCTTACCTTCCTCTAGGTGGAAAGTGGCATCCTGCATTCTCTTCTTGTCCTCGGCCTCATCTCTGCTATGGGCTGTGCCAGCTCTATCCGCTCTTTCTCACCACCAGGCCTTCAGAATGCTGTTTGAAATGTGCCCTCTGGTCTAGGCGTGGTGGCTCACATCCATCATCCCAACACTTTGGGAGGCCAAGGTGGGCAGATCACCTGAGGTCAGGAGTTTGAGACCAGCCTGGCCAAATGGCAAAACCCTGTCTGTACTAAAGATACAAAAATTAGCCGGGCATGGGAGACTGAGGCAGGAGAATCACTTGAACCAGGCAGGCAGAGGTTGCGGTGAGCCAAGATCTCGACACTACACTCCAGCCTGGGTGACAGAGTGAGACTGTCTCAAAAAAAAAAAAAAAGAAAAGAAAAGAAAAAGAGGCCGGGCGCGGTGGCTCAAGCCTGTAATCCCAGCACTTTGGGAGGCCGAGACGGGCGGATCACGAGGTCAGGAGATCGAGACCATCCTGGCTAACACCGTGAAACCCTGTCTCTACTAAGAAATACAAAAAAAAACTAGCCGGGCGAGGTGGCGGGTGCCTGTAGTCCCAGCTACTCGGGAGGCTGAGGCTGGAGAATGGCGTAAACCCGGGAGGCGGAGCTTGCAGTGAGCTGAGATCTGGCCACTGCACTCCAGCCTGGGCTACAGAGCGAGACTCCGTCTCAAAAAAAAAAAAAAAAAGAAAAGAAAAGAAAAAGAATGTGCCCCCTCTAGCGTGCCTCCCAGGTCACTCAACTGCTGGAAAATGGAATCCTACTACCGTGCAGGGCTCTAGAAATTCAGCAGCGTTTCATACATGGCATCTGCCATCAAGGAAGTCACAGGAAGGTGGGAGGAAGACACAGATAGCCACAATATAAAGTTTAGCCAAGTTCTCTTTTGCAAGGCTAATCATAGATGAGGGGATGCACCCTAGAGCCACCAATCCGGCCCCTTCCGCCCCTGGCGGAAGCATTAATGACACTGAAATGTGTCAGAGCTCCCACCAGCCCCCTCTTCACTGCTACTCTTTCTTCCCAGGCAAAACAGGAACCACAAACCCCAGCTTCCTCTTGCAGAGTGGCTGTGGCTTGTAGGGGAGACGGAAATGGCTGAGGTGCGCATACAAGACCTGAGTCACTTGAGCTGCTATTGCCGCATGTCTCCTCCCTCTCCCCCTCCCCAGTTCTAAGGTCTCCTGCTCCCACTTTGACTTTTCTGGCCTCTCCCTTACCCTTTATTTCCAAATGTGCACCTGAGTCCCCTGTGTGATGTACACCCATTTCCCGGGCTGCAGTGGGGGCTGCTGTGGGCATCAGGGGCCGTGGGCAGGGCCTGGGGTGGGGACACATCAGGGAGACACAGGGGAAGAGGAAGTGCCTTCGGTCCTCGGGAAGATTGGCTTGTCTTGGTGGGTGGGGACGGTCATTATCAGCTTTCTGGACACACAGACACAGACAGATAGGATGGACTTCCTCCGGCTACACCTCCCTGGGCTGCACCAGGCCTTGAGGGGGGCACTGGTGAGAGGGGCAGACAGCTGCCAGAGACTTGCACCCCATTCCCTGGGGCCTCACCTCCGGGCACCTCCCCTGGGGCCTCACCTTTCCCCTCCTCCTTCTGATGTCCTCAGACTGGAGATTGCTTTCTCAGGATCAGGCAGACTCCTGGCCTAATCTTTTCTGAATTTTAGACCCCACCTCCACCCATGCGTCCTCATACCCCCAATCGATGCCCTTTCTGGCTCCTTCTGCAAATCCTCTTCTCCTCTCAGATCTCAGTACCCTGTTCCTTAACCTGGGCTCCTCCAGCCAGGACCCCCAGGGAAAGGACTGGGACTCCCCTTAATGCCTCTCCCCTCCCTCTTTTTTCCTAGGATTCCCTCGGCACCTTTGTCTCCTACCTCTTGGGAGATGCAGTCCCCACTGTAGAGCGGGAGGCACAGGCGGCTGAGGAACTGGGGGCGGTGGCCGTGGGAAGGACAGGGAAGATTGTAGAGGAGGAAGCCCAGGAGGCCCTGGAGGGCCTTAGAGGCAGCCAAAACGAGGGGGCTGGAGGGCTGAGAGGGCCTGGAGAGGACAGAAGACGTGAAGCGGGGAGCTCAGCTGTGGAACAGACCTGGAGCTGGGGAGATGGCAGCTCCCATGGGTCCCAAGCAGAGAGGCAGGACAGTGGGGCTGGTGAGACAGCCAAGGCTGCCAGGTGCCAGGAGCCAAGTGCCCCCTTGGAGGCCAGAAAGAAATCCAAGGCAGGGTCTGGGGCTTGCCAAGAGAGGAGCGGCCAAGCCCAGGAGAGGCAGGAGCCCGATGAGCAGGAAGTGAACAGAGAGGAGAGGCTGAGAATCTGGGAACAGGAGGAGGAGGAGGAAGAGGTCAGGGCAAGAGAGCCAGGGATGGCCAGAGGGGCGGAGTCAGAGTGGACCTGGCACGGGGAGCCAGAGGGGAAGGCTGGTGCTGGCGGGCCAAAGGCGGCGGGGGACAACCGGGAGACGGAGCAGGGGGTCAGGAAGGCAGATGCAGGGGAAACTGAGGAGCCTGGGGCCGAAGGGGCTGGGAAAGGAGAAGAGGTGGTGGTGGTGGAGAAGGCCTGTGAAAGCACTAGGGCATGGGGGACGTGGGGCCCAGGGGCAGAGCCTGAGGACTGGGGAATCTTAGGCAGAGAGGAGGCCAGAACAAGCCCAGGCAGGGAAGAGGCGAGGACAATTTTAGATGGGGAGGAAGCCAGGACAATCTCAGGTGAGGAGGAGGCCGAGACAGCCTCAGGCGGGGAGGAGGAGGCCGGGACAGCCTCAGGCGGGGATGAGGCCTGGACAACCTCAGGCAAAGAGGAGGCTGACCTCCCGGGAGTCAGACAGACAGAATATGGAGCAGTCCCAGGAGAAAGGCTCCTAGAGGCTACTGGAAAAGTCTGGGTCCTAGAGGAGGAGGGGGATGAGGAGAGAGAGGCTGAGGTGAGCCCTTTCCCCAAACAGGCCCAGGTCCTGGGCACTGAGAGAACAGAAGAGGCTGCTGAGAGCCAGACAGCAGGGAGGGAGGCTGTGGGAGGCCAGGAGGCAGGGGAGAGCTTTGAGGGTCAGGCGGACCTGTGTGGGAAGGAGGCTGAGATGAGATGGGACTTGGAGATCAGGGCCGACTGGGCCAGGCTGGAGGAGCTGATACAGGCAGAGGAGGCCCAGGAGGAGAGAGAGAGTGGCAGGGATCTAGCGGCTGAGCTGCCCTCAGATGGAGAGGCTGAAGGCGCTGCTGACTTGGAGGTAACTCCAGAGGCCAGGCCCGAGGAAGAGCCCACAGGGGAGGAGAGCGAGGCGGCCCAGACTAGCTGCGGCCCACTGGGGGTGGAATGGGGTGGCCTCACACACAGGGTCACCAAAGGCCAGGGACCTGAGCTGATGGGAGGCGCCCAGACCCCAAGTAAGCAACCCGAGGAAAGAGAGGCAGGTGAGGTGGAGCTCCAGGGAGTTCTGGCCCGGAGCAAAGAGCAGCAGGAGAGGAGCCTGGAGGCAGGTCCCAGGCACGCAGAGTCTGTAAAGCCCGAGGCCTCCGAGGCCTTCCCAGGAGCCTGGGAAAACCGCATGAGAAGGGACATGGAGAGAGGAAATACCCAGGAGGATGCGGCCGATGGCGAGCAGTGGGAGGAGGAGGCTGCGGGAGGCCAGACCCCGGTGGCTGAGGCCAAAGGAGACCAAGAGTCTGAACTATCAGAAGTCCCAGAGGCAGGCGGGGAAGGGCCGACAACCCAGGACACGGGATGTGGAATTGAGGAGGGAGAGGCATCTGTCTCAGAGAACCAGGATCTGGATGGAAGCACAGGAGCAGACGCAGGGCCTGGCCTGTCACTGGGAGAGGCCTATGCCAGAGAAACCAAGGATGGGGAGGCGGAGGCTGACAGAACGCCCAGGAGAGGCTGGAGGCTGCAGGTGGTGGCTGTGGACCTCCAGGACCATGAGGACGCACAGACTGGCACTGTGGCTGCTGAGGTTATGGGGGGTGAGGTGGACCCAGACGTCAGCGCTGCTGGTGCTGGTGAAGCTTTGGAAGGGGCGCTTGGGCAAGGCTGGGACTTGAAAGAAAGGGAAGAGACAGCAGCAGGAGAGCATGCAGGTGGGCAGGAATTTGGCCTGGAGGGCTCAGCAGAGGAAGAGGTGGCAGGCAGAGGTGGCCAAGCAGAGGCTTCTGAGGCCAGGGAGGGAGGACCTGGGGGAGGGCGGGTAGAGGCAGAGGAATCTGCAGGTGCAGAGGACAGCTGTGGGCTGGATCGCGTGGGCTCCCAGACAGCGAGGGCAGACGGGATGGGAGCCACGGTGGAGGCTGCAGGGCTTCTAGAAGAGTGGATGCTGTTGGAAGAAAAGGCTGTCAGATGGCAGGAGAGAGAACAGAGGGAAGACAGGGAGGGGCGGCGTGGGGACCACCACCCTGAGGGAGAGGCACCAAGGCTCCTTGATGCAGAGGGTCTCATGGTGACCCGGGGCTGGAGGGCAGAGGCCAAGGAGACTGAGCCAGAAAGCCTGGAAGACGTCAGGGGCCACGAGGAGTGGCCAACACACCAGGCCCCTGCAGAAGCTGCGCCAGGGTCAGTCGGGGAAGCCGAGACGGCTGAGGCCACAGGCAGTGCCAGAGGAGGTGCTGCCAGCAGCTGGAGTGAGGTGAGGGCTCTTAGTGGGGTCTGCGGGGGGGGGAATGAGTGGAATCCCGAAGCCAGTCCCATGGTCCTCTGTGCTCCCTTTCCTACAGGCCCCGCTCCCTGGGTCCCTCCTAGACGTCTCTGTCCCAAGGAGCCGCGTGCACCTCTCGAGAAGCTCCTCACAACGTCGCTCCCGGCCCTCTTTTCGTCGGACTCCAGCCCTGGAGCAGCAGGAGGAGCCCCCAGCCCCCAATCTTCCTGAGGAGGAACTGTCGGCCCCTGAGCAGAGACCCCTCCAGCCGGAGGAACCCCCAGAGCCAAGCCCTCTGAGGCATGATGGGACCCCGGTGCCAGCCAGGAGAAGGCCCCTGGGACATGGGTAGGCACAGGGCAACTCGGCTGGGGTGGGGAAGAGACCGTGGGCACCTGGGAACCCGTTCTCATGGGCCTAACTTCTGCCTTCAGGTTTGACCTCATGCACCCCGGCATGATGCAGGAGCTGCAAGCCCGTCTGGGCCGGCCTAAGCCCCAGTGACTGAAACCCGGCGCTCTGGGAGCCAGGCCCTGAGTGGGGGCCAGAAGTCTCGCTCCGACGCCACTGAGCCCTGCTCCCTCTGCCACCGTGGACACATCCTCTCCACTCTCTGGGCCTCAGCGTCTTGATGTATCATTCATGGAGCAGGCAAAACCAGACGTCTGGGAAGACCTTGACTTAAGGAGTCTGATTCTCCAACACAGGCTGGTGGACCACCTACTCCACTGAGACCACGTCTCAGGGTGCCTGCCCTGGTTCCTCTCCAGACTGAGTCAGCTATCTGGACTGCATGGAGGCTGGGCACGGGGGCTCATGCCTGTCACCCCAGAGCTTTGGGAGGCCAAGGTGGGAGGAGCGCTTGAGACCAGGAGTTCAAGACCAGCCTGGGCAACATAGCAAGACCCCCATCTTTTAAAAGCAAAATAAAAAAATAAAGACGGCAAGGAAGACTGAGAGGGAACAGCGATCATTCTCCTTACAGGCCTCCCTCTCTGACTTCCGCTTCCCAGCCCAACTCCCTGCACCAAGACCCTCAGAACTGAGCAGGCGTAACATTAACCTCTGGAGTCGCATCCAGGCCAAAGGAAGGTGGTTAGGGGGGCTTAAGGAGCACTGCTCAGAATCAAAGACGAGCTGCCTTGAGCTTCCAAAACGGTAGCTCGGCCTCAGGATGCCACTGGTTACTATGGCAACTGCCTGGCGGAGCAGGACATAGTAGGGGAAGATGGGCCAGGGACCCCAAAAATGTAGGAGCAGAGAGGGGTTCAGGATGGCTAGAGGTTGCTGACCCCGTTCCAGGCTGCCCTGCCCTCTGGGTGTCAGCAACCCTTCCCAGAAGATAAGCGGAGGCCAGGGGTGAATGAGAGTGCTTTATTGGGCACCCAGCATGGGGGCTCGGCCCAAGGAGGACCAGCAGGCTCCGAGACAATAAATAAACCATCATCTCTCTAACAATAAATAAATATCCAAGAAATAAATAGCTGGCAAGGACCAGAGGGGCTTTCAGTTACTGGGTAGGGCCTGGGGCAGGGGGCTGGAAGAGCCCTCCCTTGTCCAACGCTGATGATGCGGAGGCTGCCCTGATGCCAAGACTCCAGTCCCTAAAGTACTAAAGGGTGAAGGGCAGGGGGCTAAGAAGCCACCCAATCAGGGCTGGGGGCCCAATGTTGGGAACCCCAAGGGCCAGACTGAGTGCCCGGCCTTGGACAGCAGCAGCAAGTCCCGCACCGCCCGAGATAAGACGAGCTCCAAGGAGTGCAGCAGGCGGTAGGTGGAGAGGAGTTGGGGCCAGGACACCTGGGCCGGCCCCTGTGAGGCATTGCCCAGTGCCCCTGGGAGCAGCCCCTTCCTCTCCTCCTCCTCCTCTTCCTCCTCCTCCTCCTCTGGGAGGTGGAATCCTGCAGCCAGCACCTGTGAGGAGAAGCCATGGGTTAGGGAGGGGCCAGGCCGAGAACCTGAGCGAATCCTCATTCCCTATTTGTGCCCAGCGGCTTCTAATGACATCAGTGACCACAAGGTCATGATTTCCCCGGACATTCCCTACTTGATCTTCCATGATGTCACCCGCTAACGCGTCTCACCTCATCTTTCAGTTCAAGAAAATGGAAGTCAAGGAGCAAGAGGATGCTCACAGAGCTAGATCACCCCAAGGACTGCCCCGAGGGGTGGGTTCAGGAAGTTTCTGCTGTTAAGGTTGCTCTTGGGTTGGGTCAGCAACAGGCAGAGGGTGACATAGCTCAGATTCCCTGCTGCTTGCCCTTCCTTTCTCTCTCTCTCTCTCTCTCTCTCTCTCTCTCTGTCTTCCTTTCTTGGAGTCCCGCTCTGCCGCCCAGGCTGGAATGCAGTGAGGTGATCATGGCTCACTGCAACCTCTGTCTCCTCAGTTTAAGCAATTCTCTCCTACCTCAGCCTCCCGAGTCATTGGGATTACAGGTGCCCACCACCACGCCTGGCTAATTTTTGTATTTTTAGTAGAGATGGGGTTTTACCCTGTTGGCCAGGCTGGTCTTGAGCTCCTGACCTCAAATAATCCACCTGCCTTGGCCTCCCAAAGTGCTGGGATTCCAGGCGTGAGCCACCACGCCTGGCTCTGCTACTTGCATTTTCTATTCTCATTTCATTAAGTGTAAAATTCTGATTTCCCTTTGAAAGGTTCTGGAAGATCTGGGTGACATCAGAGAATCACAGGGAGAAGGGAAACAGGAGGCAGACGCTGTGCTGGGCGCTCAGGACAAACCCCGAGTGACCTCACAGCCCAATGGCCTCCTGTTCAAGATGGAGCCCCAGGAGAATGCCAAGATTGAGGGGTGGCACCAGGGCCTGGTGTGGCTGCACGCGCCCGCGCACACACACGAACACACTCACACACATACTCATTCTCACAACGCAGTCACACTCATTCCCATACAGTCACATTCACACAAAACACATTCATGGCTGGGCACAGTGGCTCACGCCTGTAATCCCAGCACTTTGGGAGGCCGAGGCGGGCAGAGCACGAGGTCAGGAGTTCGAGACCAGCCTGGCCAACATGGTGAAACTAAAAATAAAAAAAAATTAGCCAGGCGTGGTGGTGCATGCCTGTAATCTTAGCTAGTTAGGAGGCTGAGGCAGGATAACTGCTTGAACCAGGGAGGCAGAAGTTACAGTGAACTGAGCGTGCCATTGCACTCCAGCCTGGGCGACAGAGTGAGACTCAGTCTCAGAACAAAAAAAAATTCGTTCACATACCCACACAGTCACACTCACACTCATCCTCACACACTGACACACCTATACCCAAACTCTCACCCACACACCTCACTTTGACACAACACTCACATTCACACACCCACCCACACACTCACACACTCTCACACTCAGACCCACACACTCACACACTCACACTCACAGACCCACACACTCACTCTCACACTCACAGACTCACACACTCACAAACTCTTACACTCACGGACCCACACACACACAGTCACGCTCACACTCATACAGACCCCCCCACACTCACAGTCACACCCACACACTCTCACACAGACCCACACACTCACACACTCACAGTCACACACATACAGACCCACATACACAGTCACACACTCACACAGACCCACACACACAGTCATGCTCACACTCATACAGACCCACATACAGTCACACCCATGCTCACACTCACAGACCCACACACACACTCTCACACTCATGAACCCACACACACACAGTCACACTCACACTCATACAGACCCACACACAGTCATGCCCACACACTGTCACACTCACAGACCCACACACAGTCACACACACACTAATGGACCCACGTACACAGTCACAGTCACATTCATACAGACCCCTCCACACACTCACACCCATATACTCTCACAGTCACATATACTCACACAGACCTACACACTCACACACTCACACTCATGGACTCACACACACACAGTCACGCTCACATTCATACACACCCCCCCACAGTCACACCCACACACTCTTACACTCACAGACCCACACACACACTCTCACTGTCACACACACACACTCACGGACCCACACACTCACAGTCACGCTCACACTCATACAGACCCACACACACAGTCACACCCACACACTCTCACACTCACAGACCCACACACTCACACACTCTCACAGTCACACACTCACGGACCCACACACACACAGTCATGCTCACACTCATACAGACCCACACACACTCACTGTCACACCCACACTCTCACAGTCACACACTCTCACACTCACAGACCCACACACTCACACTCATAGTCACACTCTCACACTGTTGGACCCACACAGTCACAGTTATGCTCACACTCTCACACTCACACACACTCAGAGCATGGGATCACTGGATGAGCCAGCCAGTCTTCCTTCCCACGTGGTCTGGGGTGGCCGGGCTTTACCTGGAAGCGCAGGTGCCGCTGCAGATCGCGGAGGTCCAGCCTCATGGCCCACAGCTGCATCCTCTCCGTGTTGGTCCAGCGGCCCTGGGTCCCCAGCCCTCCCAGCAGGGCACGGAAGGGTTGAAGCGTGGTGGAGAGGAAGCAGAGACGCTCCAGGTCCTGAAGGGAAGGCAGATGGTCAGGAAAGGCCCACAGGCCAAGGATGGACATGTCACACCCACCCCCTCCCTATCCAGGTCTCCTTCCCATTCCACACTCCAGCCTCCAGTCTATCCCCATAGCTCCTCCCCACCTCAGCCCAGCTCCGTCCCCACCTCAGCCCAGCTGCGTCTCCATTCCTTCCATCTCCACTGTCTGGGACATTTGCCCCATCTCCTTTTCCAGCCTCCCTTTCACTCCCATGCCCATGATCTTCTCTAACCCACCCCTCTCAGTCCCTGAAGCACTCTCCTTCTGCAACCCTGTTCCCTTCTCTCCTTCACCACCCCATCATACCTCCTGCCCACGCGTTTCCATCCCATCTTCAGCCTCATTCCCATTTCTAACCCCAACTCCGTCCTTCCTCCATGTGCCCAGACTCACTCTTTCAATTTTTCCATCCCATCTCCAACCTCATTCCCAACCCCATCCATTCCCTTCCCCACCAGCAACTCCCATCCCTTCTCCATCCCCTGCTTAATGTTCACCCTCATCTCCAACCTTCTCATCTCTAGCTATCCGCATTCTCACCCCCAGTGCCACCTCCACCCACCCTCCATGCTGCTGTGATCTCTCTCCAGTCTCATGCCAGTCCCCTGCCTGCCGCATTCCATGCCCAGCTCCACTCTTACCTCTTCCTAACCCCACTTCCTTATTCCAGCTTCATCTTTATTGTTTGTTTGTTTGTTTGTTTTGAGATGGAGTCTTGCTCTGTTGCCCAGGCTGGAGTGCAGTGGCGCGATCTCATCTCACTGCAACCTCTGCCTCCTGGGTTCAAGCAATTCTCCTGCTTCAGCCTCCTGAGTAGCTGGGATTTCAGGCACACGCCACCATACCTGGCTAATTTGGTATTTTTAGTAGAGACGGGGTTTCTCCATGTTGGTCAGGCTGGTCTTGAACTCCTGATCTCAGGTGATCCGCCCTCCTCGGCCTCCCAAAGTGCCGGGATTATAGGCATAAAGCGCCATGCCTGGCAGTTTATTTATTTTTCTGAGACAGGGTCTCCCTCTGTCCTCCATCCTGGAGTCCAGGATTATAACTCACTGCAGCCTCCAACTCCTGAGCCCAAGCAATCCTCCCATGTCAGCCTCCTGAGTAGCTGGGACCAAAGGTGTGTACCACCATGCCTGGCTAACTCTTAAATTCTTTTGTAGAGACAAAGTCTCACTATGTTGCCCAGGCTAGTCTTGAACTCCTGGCCTCATGCAGTCCTTTCACCTTGGCCTCCTAAAGTGCTGGGTTTATAGGTGTAAGTCACCGTGCCTGTCATCTTTATGTCCAATGACATATTCAACATCATCCAGGTTCTATCCCCAATGCATCTCCAGCTCAATCTCCAGCCTCATCTTGCACCCTGGCCCCAGTCTATCACAAGCTTCCCGCCCCATTCCACCAGCCCTCACTCACAGAGAGGCGGCGCCAGGTCTGGAAGGTCAGGGAAACATCAGGGAACTGCTCTCCCAGGGGCAGGAGGTCCAGGTTCACTCCTGGCAGGTGAGATTCCGCCTGGGGGGCAAGGTCTGTTAGTGGGGGCCAGAAGGGATTGGGGGTCTGCCCGTCCCCAGCACCAGCTGCATTATGGGGACTTACAAAGCGGTGGGCCTGGCCCCGAACCTCGGAGAGCAGCTTCCTGGCGAGATGCAGGCTGACCGTGAACTCCCTCTGCAGCTTCTGCACGCTCAGCTGGGGCCTCCCTGGGGGCCTTGGGAATCCCCAGACACCAGCTTGAACCAGGAGCAAGGGAAGCAGCAACAGGCTGAGCCCTGGAGAGGTGGGGAGAGGGTGGGCGAGACAGGGAGAGAGCTTGAGAACTCGGGAGAAGGAACGGAACATGCCTTTTCTGAGCCTGTGCTAGCTGTGAGCATAGTGCAGCCACTTTCACCATCATCATTCCTCTGCCTCCTCAAAACCACAGTGGAGGCCAGGTGCGGTAACTCATGCCTGTAATCCCAACAATTTGGGAGACTGAGGCGGGCGGATCACCTGAGGCCAGGAGTTCAAGACCAGCCTGGCCAACATGGCAAAACCCTGTCTCTACTAAATATACAAAAATTAGTCAGGCATGGTGGTGCATGCCTGTAATCCCAGCTACTCAGGAGGTTGAGGCAGGAGAATCGCTTGAACCCGGGAAGCAGAGGCTACAGTGAGCTGATATAACACCACTGCACTCCAGCCTGGGCGACAGAGCCAGACTCCGTCTCAAAAAAACAAAACAAAACAAAACAAAACCCCACGATGCAGCCAGCATGGTCCCCATATGGCATCTCTGTATGGAGTGCCCACTTTTGCAAAAAGACCAGAAGCCTGATCCTGTTTTTTTTTTTTTTTCTTTTGAAACAGAGTTCTGTTCTATCACCCAGGCTGGAGTATAGTGATTTGATCACAGCTCACTGTAGCCTTGAACTCCTGGGCTCAAGTGATCCTTTTGCCTCAGCTTCCCGAGCAACTGGGACCAAAGGGACACACCACTGTGCCTAACTGTTTCTATTGTTTTGTAGAGACAGGGTCTCACTACATTGCCCAGGCTGGTCTTGAACTCCTGGCCTCAAGAGATCCTCCCGCCTCAGCCTCCCAAACTGCTGGGATCACAGGCATGAGTCACTGTGCCAGGACAGAGCCTGGATCTTTGACCCCCATAAACTCCCTTGGCCAAATGCCTTTTTCAGTGAGCAACCTGCACAACCACATGTGGCAGCCTCAGTGCTATTGTTCTCCCCATTTTGCAGATGAGGCTCAGTGAGGTTGACTTGCCCAAGGTCAAATAGCCAGAAGGTGGGAAACCAGGACTGGATTCCAGATTTTTCCAAATGCAGGGCCCATGGGTTTTCCCCAGAGAATGCAGAGGGAGGCAGCCACCTGCCCCAGGAGTGGGCACACCATGTTCTGCCAAGGATTCTTTGGGCTCAGTCAAGCGGCTCTGATGGCTTGAACTGGCCATGAGGTCCCCAGGGATGGGTTAGCAATGCCAGAGGCTCTATCCCAGGGAATCAAAAGGACAGGTTGGTCCAGTTTCCATAACGGCAGGTGGATCCTGGCAGGGTAACCTGCCTGGGGCGAATCCACAGTGTGGGAGCTTTTTTTTTTTTTTTTTAAGACAGAGTCTCACTCTGTTACCCAGGCTGGAGTGCAGTGGCGCGATCTTTGCTCACTGCAACCTTCATCTCCTGGGTTAAAGCAATTCTCCTGCCTCAGCCTCCTGAGTAGCTGGAATTACAGCCATGCGCCACCACGCCGGGCTAATTTTTATTATCTTTAGTAGAGAGGGGTTTTGCCATGTTGGCCAGGCTGGTCTCCAACTTCTGACCTCAGGTGATCCACCTGCCTTGGCCTCCCAAAGTGCTGGGATTACAGACATCAGCCACTGCGCCCAGCCCAGAATGGCTGAATTCCGAGTGTGCTTCCTGACCTGTGTTTTCCTGGAAAGAGGGGCAGCGGATGGGCGCTCTAGGAAGAGGGCAGTATTCATCAATTTCCCCCTCAGGGAGAGGAAATCTAGCAAGCACAAGAGTTACACAATTCTCCTCGAAACACAAACCAAAACTGGCCCGAAGTCCATCCTACTCTCCCTACTCTCCCTACTCTCCCTGCCTCTTCCCTGTCCTCTCTCAATCTCTAATCCCTGAGCTCTGCTCTTCGAAATGTCCCGATAAAGGTGAAGGGGAGCTTTTAGGGATGTCTACCTCCCTCATGGACTTCTAGATGTGGTGGGCATTGCCTAACCTAAGATCTCTGGCATTCAGACTCCCTGGCTTGGGGGCCACTCGGACCCTCTGACATCCTGGAGACTTAAGGCAGAGTGGGGTTCTTCCTAGCTCAATGTTAGGGACAGGGTGGTGCCCCCAGGCCCTGGTGGATCAAGCCCAACCATAAGTGAGCTGTGCCATCTCCGACCTGAGCTCTGGAGCCCCCAGACCCCCTCCTTACCCTCTGCAGCCGATCCTGGGTCATTGGCTCTGGCCTTTGAAGGTTCTGTCTCCATCCTCCAGCCTTTGGTCCCTACCTGCCCTATGTAGCATGTTACCTTCTCCTCTGCCTACTGCTCTGGTTCTAGCCCCTGAGTTCTGCAGCCACCAGCCACAGATTGGACCTCCTTCTAACATCAGACTAAAGACCTTTGACCCAGTGAGGCTGCTGACATCTTGGTCCCAGTGCCCCACTTGTGCCAGCACTTGTTCTGTTCTTCCTTCAGCCGGCCCCATTCTCAGTCTTAGCCAAGCTGTTTGGCTTCTGCTTATTCACTCCAAACCCTTCATTTATCTGTCTAGACCTGGTCCTTGTCAAATCGCTGGTCCAACCCTCCCCATTCCTGCTAGCCAAGGCTTCCTTCCCATCCTCTGCCCAGCCCTGGGTCAAAACACCACCCCACTGCCCCAGGCCCCCAGCCAGTCACTCCAGCCTCCCCTGCCATCCAGCAGCCAGCCAAACCCTCAGTCTTGGCCAAGTTGCTGCTCTCAGCTCTCGACCCCATGCACCAGCCAAGCTCGTCCATCCTCTGCCCAAACTCAACCAAGCCCCCCATCCCTGGCTTCAAACTCACGCCAGCCAAGGTTGCCTGCCGTCTGGCCCATGGCGGGGCCCGGCCTCTTTGGTCAGCCATCTCCTGGGTAGGGGGGGTCTTATACTGGGGGCTGTGCCCGGTTTCACTTTCCGTCCTGCTTGTACTTTCAGCTTTGTGTTCACTCACTCTTCCCTCTCGCCACCCCTTGCTAAAATGGGGAAATGTAATTTCCCTTCCCGGAGGGGGTGGGAGGTATGATGGGGGGTGACGGGAAGCTGGGGTTTCAGGACACCCAAGCTCCAGACTCACTGCTAAGCTCCCACGGCCAGCTCTGCCCTCAGTGCCCCATGCTTGGGTGAGCCATCCAGCCTTATTCACTGGTTGATCCCAGAGTCCCAAATCCCCTCCTGATTCTCGGCTCTGCCACCACCATCCTAGGGTCTACTGTCCTTCCAAAGATGGATGGCCAGGTAAGGGGATTGCCCACCCGAGGGGACTCGGGGTTTTGAGTCATCTGACTCCCTTATGGTTTACCAGATGGCTGAGGAAGGTGGCACAAAGAGAGTCAGTGCTTAATGGGTGGCTGGGATGCACCCTTGCTTGGGGCCAGGAAGAGGCTCAGTGTGATGGTGGGATTGGAGCTCAGTTTGTAACTAGGATCAGGGCTGGATAAAATTAGGTCCGAGGCCATATCTGGGACCAGGGTTAGGGCTTTTTCCAGGGTCAAGGGCTCTGTCTCCATCTTTAACCAGAGTCAGATATAGGATTCGAGTTCAGTCTATAATCAGGATCAGGGACTCAGTGTACAGCTGAACTCACGGCCTAGTCCCCGGCCAATATCCTGGCTGTGTCTGTGTTTAGGGTCACAGCTATCGGTGACCTGGGGCTTTGCTTGTGGCCTGTAGGGTTGGGTCTAGAGCTTGGTCTTTGGCCAAGGTGCTGACTGGGACTGGGACTCAGTAGGGGGTCCAGGCCTGGGCTGGGATGAGAGCTCAGTCAGTGACCAGGATCGGGGCTCAGCTCGTGGCCAGGCTCAGGTTGAGTGAGGTCAGGATCAGCGCTCAGCCAGGCCCAAGAATAATCTTGGTGTTTCTGCTCTGTAGAAGCCATGGTCAGGGCTGGGCCGCATGGACCACAGATCTCCCTTCCAGCACAGCCCCACCCTCAGCCCCGCCCTGGATTTCCCATCTTCAGGGAGAGGATGGGGTTTCTTGGTCTTCCCCGAGAACAACTGCTGCCACTTTCTTTTTAGGACCTGTGGGGTTTCCCTGCTGGGTCCCTGGTGTGAGATAGAAACCAGGGGGGGCTTCCCCTTCCTGCTCTCTGCCTCCTTGGCCTGCCTGGGCACTGCCCACCAGGCCATGTGGGAATAAGTGCGCCAGGGAAATACCAACATCTGCTGAGGGAGCAGCCCCACAGGCCACTGGAGACGGACAGGGAACTGGGGCTGTAGTCCAGACAGGTTTCCCCTGCAGCACCCCCCAGTGGTGGCAGCTCACTCCCCGGCAGCCCATGCAGCTGGGGCTCCCCACAGCGGGTCCTAGAGGCATGCCACCTGCTCACCCCCTTGACCACATGGGGCCTCCCTTTGGCTCTCTCCATGGTCCCTCCCAACCTCTACTGTCACCCAGAACTTCCTTACCTCTCAAATCTTGAACCCTGGCTGGGCAACTTGGCTCTCACCGGTAATCTCAGCACTTTGGGAAACTGAGGTGAGAGGATCCCTTGAGGCCAAGAGTTCCAGACCAGCCTAGCCAAAATAGCAAGACCCCATCTCTATTAAAAACAAAATAGGCCGGGCACGGTGGCTCAAGCTTGTAATCCCAGCACTTTGGGAGGCCGAGACGGGCGGATCACGAGGTCAGGAGATCGAGACCATCCTGGCTAACACGGTGCAACCTCGTCTCTACTAAAAAATACGAAAAACTAGCCGGGCGAGGTGGCGGGCGCCTGTAGTCCCAGCTACTCCGGAGGCTGAGGCAGGAGAATGGTGTAAACCCGGGAGGCGGAGCTTGCAGTGAGCCGAGATCGCGCCACTGCACCCCAGCCTGGGCGACAGAGCAAGACTCCGTCTCAAAAAATAAAAATAAAAATAAAAAAAATAAATAAATAAAATAAGGCCAGGAAAGGTGGCTCACGCCTGTAATCCCAGCACTTTGGGAGGCCAAGGTGGGCTGATCACGTGAGGTCAGGAGTCTGAGACCAGCCTGTCCAACATGGTGAAACCCTGTCTCTACTAAAAATACAAAAACTAACCAGGCATGGTGGCTCACGCCTGTAGTCCCAGCACTTTGGGAGGCCAAGGTGGGCTGATCACGTGAGGTCAGGAGTCTGAGACCAGCCTGTCCAACATGGTGAAACCCTGTCTCTACTAAAAATACAAAAACTAACCAGGCATGGTGGTAGGCGCCTGTAGTCCCAGCTACTTGGGAGGCTGAGGCAGGAGAACTGCTTGAACCTAGGAGACAGGTT